GTATTTGTAATACTTCTAAAAATCCAGTTTTTACCTAAATTAAAAAAACAGTTATTCCATAAAAGATAATAACTTTGAACGTATATAGAATGAATTTTGTAATTTGAGTTATGTTACAAAATAATTCATAGTTTATATATTTTATACTAATAATTTAGATAAAACCTGTCCAATTTAAGAATGTGTGTTAACCACATTCTTAAATTGTAAAAGGACGACTCCACAACATGTAATTCATTTCAAAGCATAAAAGAAAGCTTATTTTTTATTTTACACAGCAACAGCATTTGCATGCAGACAAGTTTTTTTTTTAATTCCTAGTTATTATACATAATACTTAATTTTAAAAACATTCTTGTTAGAAAGCATAACGAAGAAACTTCTTTATAAAGCACCACAGTGATTCCAAAGAATGTCGTTAAATTTACAAAAGTATTGAAGATATATTGAACAGCATTATAACAAGAAAGTACTGTACAAAATATGTAAATTTAGCATAACTTCTTTTTTAGTATTTGCATAGTTTCCTCCAAATGAACCTTAATGGGAAGTTATCTTGCGAAAATTTAAAAGTATTAAAATGGCCTCTATTTAAGATGTAACTGCATTTATAATTATTTTGTAATTGCGAATAGATTATATTATTGCAATTAGATTATGCACTTACAACATAATTGCATAAAGTAATGAAATTAAGAGTTCACAGATACAATGTAATATAATTACAATGCAATTACCTAAATTGTAATTATAATCACTTATTTAATACCACAATATTATTACAATCACAATGTAATTTAAATTGGGTACTATATTTGCATACCCTCCACTCAAAAGGAGGTACTGATAAGCCTGGAAGTTATTATCAACAAAAAGCCTGTTCAGGACAGTTTGATGACAATTTCCACCGGGCGAAAAGTACATTCTTAAGCCCAGGCAAATCATGACAATAATAAAAATCATTTAGTCTTATGATTCACTATATTTTAAACCCTAAATTTGAATTCTGCACCAAATTATTTACCTATATTTTAACATACTTTATGAATTATTAGAAGCGATATGGCAAATATCTTCTAAAAATAACTGTAAAATATTTGTATCCATTAATTGATTCAGATACACACTTTTATTATTTAAGTATATCAAAATAACAGTTTCATGTTCCTGAAATACAAAAATTATGGAAAAAGTTAAAGTAATATTCTTAGAAGCATATGATATTAGTCACCAGATGCAAAATTATAGTTAATTTTTTGCCCTAAATACAATTTTATTACACAGTAGTCAAATGTGTAACTTAATAACATGTTATATAAAAAATTAATGATAATAAGTTTATCAGAAATGAATTAATTCTGCAAATAAACTTTCTGCACTTGAAAATTTTCTACACCTGAGGGGAGGGAGAGATCTAGTAAAATTAGATTTATTATAACTTCAGTTGGACCAAACACCTTCTCTCTATATATATGCATCACTAAAGAAATAAATAAAATTATCATGCTTAAAAAACAGATATACCATACCAGTTTTTTTTCCCCTTGTTACCCTTTACATTGAGAAATAACAAAAACAGTACAACACTGAAAAATACTATCCTTGAAATTTTGTTTAAATGAAGAAAAACACACACCATCTTTTTATTTAAGCATTACACTTCAAAAAACAGATACACATACCAATTTATTTTCACTAGCCTTTATACTGATAACATGCCATATAAAAATGAAAAGAATTATCCTTGAAATTTAGATAAAAAATGAAGTAACACAATGGGAAAATTTATGCACACGGACATCTTTTTTCTATTGCATGTTGTCTGACATGATCCACAAGTGCCTAAAAATGTACCCAAAGAAACGCATTTCAATATTAACAAAAAATTGTTTACAGATTAAAATTCATTCATTTCATACCAGTATTATAAAGATCATGCATGAAACAAATCTGCTTTCCCATACTTTTAAGTAAAACTTTTATACTGGAAAATAGACTATATTTCTATATATTAGAAACAAGAAAATACTAATTTGAATGTTCTGCATTCATTTCTAAATCTTTACTCCATTGCCAAATTGTATAATACTGTGATTATAAATAAACTTGCACAATCCTTGCAATTATTGAAGTCAGATTATATATATTTTGTCTCACACTATTCAATTTATTCTATTGACTTCAGATGTCAATGTCAAAATTCTGGAAGTTATTTTAACCAAGAAACAGTAGTGGGCACCGTGCATAAACAACTCATCTAACTTTTTAACAATAGTGATTATAAAATAAAGAAAAAAAAATTATATATCATTCCAACGATATTGCAACTATAGTATAATGTTACATATATCTTTAGCAAACATTCAGATTTTATCTTGACTTTCCAAATTATTATTTATTTTTTAATAAATTTCAATATGCTAATGATTTTCATGTTACATTAGTATAAATTCCACAATTAGCACAGGAAAACAAAATCCGCGCTTTATATTAGAAGAGAAATTTCTTTTCCACATTCAAAACATCTACATTGGCGATGTTTGGCGACGGGTACATTAACCCTAGACTAATTTAATTATAGCTATTATTACAGAAATTAGCAGATACTCAGGTTATTGTACACAAGAATTTCACTTTACTTGCACATTATAAACATCAGAGAAGATATAAACTCTAAATGAAGGCGTAATTAACATTATACTTACTAAGCAAAGTTCAGCGCCTGGACCAGGTTTCCAATTGTCTCTTCGGCAATTATTTACCCATATTTTTCTTCATTTTTAGGAAATTTTACCAATGTATGACCTTTCCGTGAATGATTTGAACAATTAATAGCTGTACATCCGCCCATTTTACACAAAAAAAACACAAAAAATTGTTGCACCGTAACTACACAGCCGCCATTAAATCTCCCACTTGGGAGCGCGAATGCCTGATGATTCAGCCTGGTATATAGGAGCCTTAGACTAACCCAGTGGGCGGGACGCGCGTCATCGACATGTCGGCAAGAAAGAGTAGGGACGATCTGCTTTACTTTAACACTGAAACCTATGGCGTTTGTATCACATAACTCTTTTTAATTATTAAATGTGATACCTTGTATAGTGATAAGATTATAAAAGCCACAGTTTTTTCCAAATAGAATTTAATATATCTCATTAAAGCACTTTTTAGTGCATTTCGCCCAAATTTTTCACGCGTAATTCTTGTACAAACATCTTTACTTTGGTAAAACGGTAAGAACTCTAAGCACAAAACTTATGAACTTAATTTTGCGTAAAAATAAAGTAAAATTAAATAAGATTGATAGTACGCGATGCTTTGAAATAAATAAGGTAAAATTAAAAAAAAAATCTGATAATTTTTTTTTTTTTTAAATTTAAAGAACATTTTCAGGCAGTGATTTTCCAAACTATAATAACATTACAAAACGATCATATTTATTTGATTATATAATCATTAAATTATTAGCATTAAAGTGGATTATTTATTTTAATAATTCATAAAATTCGGAGCATAAAATTTTCTGAGAGTAATGAAGGAAAAGAAAGATAAAATAAAATCTAGAAGCACTCTTTTTTTAAAGTTTTGTGTGTTACCTATATTTATTGAATATCATGTTCTTCGCCCGTAAACCACATACATTTAAAAACCGCATATCTTTAGAATTCCCGCACTGGAGAAAAAACTGTTATTTTCCGTACAGTGCTCGCTCGGAACTCGTTGAGTTTGTTAATCAAAAATTCGTTAAAGTTTTACAAAATATGAAATAGATCAAAACAAATTCGAAATTCGGCCGTCCAGATGCCCATGTTCGGGTGGAGGATTACATTATTCAAATTTTATGGCTCTAAATGCTGTGGTTTTTCTCACAGTGCGAGAAACATACATGTATTCATGCAGATTCTTCATTATTTAATTTCTTTAAATATAATACAGGGCGATAATATTTGTTAACAACAATTTGCAAGGAGAGACGGACATTTATAATAAAACAGCGCAAAATGCCGCTTCGAAACTAACAGCCTTTCTAGGCTAACACCCCTTTGGGCTAATAAGTTAAATTAACAGTAAATAAAAAATCTTATGGAGAACTAAAAATAAATAAAAAAATAATCACTATAAAATGCAAGCAAAATTAATTATTACGGTTAAATACAATTCTAATATTAGAATTAAATGTATAAAAATGTTTAAGGAATCAAAAGTGTTTATCACTAGATGTATTATTAAATATAATTGAAATAAAATTCCTTTATAGAAATTGTGTTGTAATGCTCATCTATAATTTTAAAAAAGCAGCACAATTTAGAATTTTAAACATAAATTTCCAAAATTCATTTTTAAATATTTTATTATTTTTTACTTATTTACACCAATAAAAAGCATAAAAGTTGCAAGAGAAAATTGCTTGTTTGAAATTTTCTATTAGTTCAGGTTTAAAATATTATTTTCTAAAAGAAGTAGTTACAAATTTCCTTACAGCATAGGAAAAGCTAAAAAAAATATCCAGTTCTGAAAGCATGCAATAACTTTATAATTATTTGGAACGTTAATTATGCTTGATAAATATGCTAAATTTTTAAAAATCAATCTCAATTTCAAAAATAAAAATATGTAGAAATTCTAATTTGTGAAATGAGACGCTACAACCAGCTTTTTCTTGACAATTATACACGTTGCAATAGGCAAGCAATGTAAAATTTCTGCAAGTCGTCCCTACTCCTCCGGATGTGATCAATGTGACAGCCGGCAACCCCCCCAGACGAGGGAGAAAACCCGTTTGGGTTAGTCTATTTCTTATAAGGTCCATTAATGTATCTCATTAAAAAGGGTAATAACATAGATTTAAATGTTAGAAAATGAGCAGCACAACTTTTATATTTTCACAAATCTAATATTCGTAATAGAAGATGAAGGGAAAAGAATTTTTTTTAAAGAGTCGCTGATAATAAGACCTCTTGCTCAAGGTCATCCTGTTTTTCAATGATTTTCGGCTACTTTAGGGGAAAAATATCTGGCAACTTTGTATAATTAAGGAGCTGCTTGTGGCAACGTGGTGGCAACTCTTTATGTAGGTATTGAATTATTCGGGCTTTTGATGAAGATTTGAATTTGCAATCATGAAAGTAAGTACTTTTTGCAATAATGTATGATAAAAAATTGTTTATATCTAATAAAAACCATCTGTGTGTGTTATATGAATGGTTTTCATGTGTTCATATTTAAGAAATACGTGGATGAAGTAAGATCTTATCATGCGATATGTTAGGACCGCTCGTATGATTTGGTATGAAAATTCTTCGTATAAGCTGCAGTAAAACACTTACCGTGTTAATTTATTTCTTTGATGTTGTTCATGTATATTAATAACAAATTTATGTAACTATAATTTCATCCTGTACTATATCATATACTAACTGTAATTATTTTATCTTCGTAAGCCTAGCAAAAGTATTCTATAAAGATGTGCATTTCATCCTGTTCTAAATCATATACGAACTGTAATTATTTTATTATCTTCAAAAGTATTCTATAAAGATGTTCATTTATGTAATATTGTGTATACTTTTATGTTATAGCTAAATATATCTTATCCTGCTACTGGCTGCCAAAAACTTATTGAAATTGACGATGAAAAAAAGTTGCGTATGTTTTATGAAAAACGTATGGGTCATGAAGTTGAAGCTGATGGCTTAGGAGATGAATGGAAAGTAAGTGCTATATTAGATTACTCTTGCAATTTAATTAATGTATTGTTATTAAAAATTAAAAGTGAATTCTAAAATCTTATTAGCCATGTGGGCTAAAGTGCAGAATCGTCCACTTATTTGTTTGGTGCTCTTTACAAGAGTAAGGAGAATTGAATATTTGTCAATTTTCTTTGACTTTTTAAGTGAAAATGGAAAAAGTGGTCAATGTGTACATGGATTAAGTCGAGGGAATGCGCAGTGCCATTTTTGTGAATTCTGGGATGTTTTCTTAAGTGAAAATAGGTTGATGTGTACTTGAATACCAAGTATGTGCAATTTTTATAAACACTGCAAGCAGTGGGCGATTCTACACTTTCCCCGAAACGTGTTTTTGTTAAGAATTTTCTGAAGAATTGTTTTTCCTCTTCTAAACTGATGATTAAAAAATTTTTTTCCGATTTTGTAAATTAATGCTTTTCTTACACATATTAATGCCATATACAGTGAATGTAGAAAGTATTTGTCCAAGAAGTGTTAAGATCTAACACAATTAGTGTGATGTAAAAAAAGTATTTGTACATTATACATGATGTTGAATGATTAAATTGAAATAAGAAGTATTATTGATTATCTAAGATGACTGAAGCAAACCACTGCTGGTGTAAGGAATACATTTAACGGATCCTCTGCGGAAGTGCTTCCGTTTTCTGTGCTAACTGGAATTTAAGACTTTTTTCTTCATATATTATGTTTAGCCTGTTAGTTTTACATGTACATGCTTATTATCTGTGAATTTGGTCATGGTATTATTGGGGTTTTCTTCCGGAGAGGATCCGTTGGCGGCGAAGCGTATTTACTCGCCAAGCTCGTCAACGGCTAATCGGCCATGAGTTTAGCGGTGTACAGTTACGTTGCAAGATATTTAAAAAGGTTAACCGTAATACAAATTAAAGAAACTTATAAAACGCATCTAAATTTGAGTTAGCCGCAGAAAAAAATTATCAAAATTTTAAACATGATATTTAAAGCATAGAAATTAAGTTATATTATTATATATATTAAACAAACATATTGCAAGATAATTAAACAGGTGATCTGTGATGTTTAAAGCATATAAATTAAAAAAACATATTAAACGCATCTAAATTTGTGTTAGCCGCAGAAAATATATCAAAAGGTTAAATATGATATTTAAAGCATAAAAATTATGAAGAAACATACTAAACACATATAAATTAGAGTTAGCTGGCAAAAAATAATATCAAACAGTGAAACATGATATTTAAAGGATAAAAATTAGACTTAGCAGGAATAGACATAATATTTAATGAGTTAAACATTATAAAGCATATAAATTAAAGTATATATAGCAATATGTCATATATCTTTTGTTAAATTTGTATAGCCCTGAAAAGGGCCTTTCCCCCCCAATCCTTTACACAATCCTAAACAAGTCTTTTAACTGAAGACTAACTTTATATCTCTGGTCAATGCAAAGTTTTGTATATGCCTATATTAGAAATATTTTCAATAACACATTAAAAACGCTTAAAAATAAATAGCAATGTCTCCGTAAAATAATGAAACAAACATGAATGCCAAAGTGAAGACTAGATGTCATGCCATAGTCATTTGAAATAAATTGCATTGACACACATTTCACGTTGGAAAGAAGAAAGTCCATCTCTAAAAAGATGTTTGGAAACTTATAAGAAATGATCAGCAAATTTACCTTAAAATGGACATAAATCAATGCTGTATACATTACTGCATTTTAGAATATCCAAAATGAGAATGAAAAAAGCAATATTTTCATTGATTTTTAGGAAATAGCATATGCTGTTGACAAATTCATATGTAAACTAGGATAATTCTAGTTCCAGGATATCGCTGAAATTATTTCTCCTTATAACAGATGTGGGAAAAAACCAGCACTTGCAGCATTCTAGACCTTTCATCAGGCCTGATGAAATTTAAACGCAGCAACATCATTTTCTTCTGAATGATGCATTCAGGTGTATGAGAAAGGCAGATGAAACACTTCTCAGAATGCTGTATCATAAATGAGTCGTAAATGCTTTGCTTATATTATGCCAAGCAGTCATAGCTTTAGGGGCCATGACAGTGTGATGGCCCAAGATACTGAGTACTGAAGATTCAAACTAGGGTCAAACCATCAGTATACAGCAACTGTATTGCTGAACTGCTTGTGAACTTGAACAAAAGTATGAATATCTTGTTAGTGAAACCCATAACGTAAGAAAAACGGCACACTTGATAAAATGTTCAAGATTAATGGTCGATTTTGTTATGAATCCCATGGTTTTGACATGTTTTAAATATACTCCTTCCACACGGATAGAAGCTGAATGATCATTGTCCTGCTTACTACAGATATAACCTTTCAATGTATAATCTGAAGGAAAGTTTAGGTTATTCGAATATGGCAAAGCATACCGGCTGTTGACCTGAAGAAGGATGCCTTTATGAACATTCTAAGGGAAACTGGCTTGTATGTGCATTACATATGAGGAAAACTAGAAAAATCAACCATGCAGCCAGTCCTTTAACCATGATATGAACACAGATCAAACTACCAGTATTCAATGGTCTTAACCACTAGTAGGAAAAATCTTAAAAAAATGCTTGCAATATCATGCAATCAGAAATTCACTAAATGTTGCACAGCAGAATTACTTTTTCAAGTGTCGAGGATGAGAATACTTAATTTTGTTTTGTTTATATAGGTATTTGGTCATGGTATTATTCATTACATATATTCTCTGTTGTTCATACAGATACTAATATTTTAGTACATTTAAAAGTGTCTTTTTCATTAAGTGCTTTGCTCGTCAATATTCCCAAAATTGTGTTTCATATGTTAAGTGCTACTGTACGTATAATAATTAATGTATTCATTACAGAATAATACATTTCAAATATCCATTTTATGCAAGCAATTTTCAAAGTTATTTTTTGAATTTACTTGCTGATAGCTTAAAATATTTTATTTTGAAACAATTGCCTTTTTCACAATAAACTGGACATTGCCAAGAATCTTCAATAATATTCAAATCCTTTAGAGTAGCATTGTAAATAAAACTATAAGAAAATTATACATTTTGTTATCTTTCAAAAGTCAAACTTTGATTAATTACTCAAAGCAGTGGTTTACTAACTTTGATGACCAATAAAAAATCTTAAAAAAAATTTTTTTTTTTTTTAAATCTCATCTCAGAGAACCAATAATACTTTTTTTATTCATTATTACTTTCTTTATTTCATTCTAATCATCTATCATCATCAAACACCTAGCATCTTCTGAAAGGTAATTGCTAAGATACATTAAAAATATGTCAAATTTTTAAGCATGAAAAGTGATGTAATTCTTATTATTTTAGATAAAAATAAGAGTAATAAAAATAAAAACTTTAGTTAATTATTTAAACCTTATATTATTGCGGCCCACGTTAATCATGTTTTAGGACTCGGGTACCCTATGGTTCTGAGTGTTTAGTCTTTTAATTATTAAGAACACAGTCATACTACTCTAAACAGGCGTGTTACCAATTATCAATAAGCCCCCCATTCCGCCGTGATTTCACCTGCTCATCCGGTAGTGATGCACCACCAGCCAGCGGCAAAACGGAGCACGTACAGAACATACGAGAACAGATTCGTTGTCTAACAGCGTTCGTAGCGGTCCTTATAAGTTCTTATATTTGAAAATAAAATATTGTATTTATTATTTGGTTCCAAGCGAATACAATAAATATTCCTTATTATTATTTATTTTCTCTACTTTGAACTGAAATTTCACCATTAAATCTTGTAATATAGTTTAGTTCTGCATAGTTTTTTTTCTCTCTTTGTAAACTAGTTCTGTAAATTAGACTGTTATTTAAAATTAAAAAAAAAAGTAATTGTTTTCCATGGTTGTGGTAATGCTTATTCTCTCTTAATAAATACTCCATTTCTCATTATTTTAAATTACAAGTCTAATTTCTAAGGTTATGCAGTTGTGTATAATGTAATTAGACAAGTGCTTTTTTTTTTCTTAAAATGTGCTTGAAAAGTGCTTATAGGTGCTTATTTTTTTAACTAAAATGTGGCTATGAACCCTGTCTAAATGTTTGAAGAATCAGGTTGCTACCTACGACCACTGAATTCACCAGGTTACCAACTTTGCACTGTTATCGCCAATTTTGTCGATGTTTACATTTAATGGATCCTCTGCGGAAGTGCTTCCATTTTCTGTGCTAACTGGAATTTAAGACTTTTCTTCATATATTATGTTTAGCCTGTTAGTTTTACATGTACATGCTTATTATCTGTGAATTTTTTACTACTATATGCTTAATGTATTGTTATGTCTGTTAAATTGAATTTACATGCACTACAAATCATGTTTTTGGCTCATTGTGGTGAGTAAAAACGGTGCCAATGGGTTCTCTGTGGATGAAAACCCTATATTTAAATTAATACCTTGTAGAATATTCTTTAGCGTGAATAACAAACAGCTTTGAGTCTCCTTGGCATTGATTCAGTTAAACTTGTTACTGAGCTGGGTATAGACCTTCATTCTTGTTTAAGCATAGTTAATAAGTCATTTTAGTTTTCGGTTGATCTTTACTGTACGGTACCTTGGTTTCTGTCTGTAAATTTTGATACCCTTTAGATTATAATTGCTCTTTATTTCATAAATTACGGTTTCATAGTTTTAATTTTATAATTTCTGCATGCCATCTTACCAGATTTAAATTGATGATCTATAATTCAGAAAAACCCCTTATCCGGAATCGGCGAAGGCCCGACTAGTCTGGTTTAAAGACTTTGTACTGTACTCAAATATAGCAACTAATTTGGGACAGGGAGTATATGATTCATTCTGATTAATGTCATGTATCTCATTATTACACTCATGTCCATAAATTAAGGATGATTCGGAGTCATGCGGAAATTGAATAAATATATCACCTGTAAAATCAGTACACACATCTTCAAGAATCATATGCAAATTT